CCCCCCCCCCCCCCCCCCCCCCCCCCCCCCCCCCCCCCCCCCCCGCCCAGTCCCCCAGGCAGCCTCTGAACCTCTGGCCTGGCTGGTTCTCTGGGCAGCAGGCCCCAAGCCACAGCAGGTCTCCAGCTTCCCCTCCCACACTCCCCAGACTATGTACACCCCAAGCAGAGGCCACATAAAGGCTCTGGAGTGATCCGTGTAGAGCAGACCTCGGCCTGCCTGGCAGACAAGCCCATGCTCCCCACAGGCGCACGCATGGATGCTGCCACACTGGCCTTACCTACCTCATAGATGAGGAAGACTTTGGCTCCCACGTAAATGCCCATGCGTGTCACAGCCCTGACAGCAGCGTTCATGCCTACAAAGGAATGAGGCAAAACCTATCAGGCCGGTCTCTCCATCCAGAGAGCACTGGGCCAAAAAAATGCAAGGACCAGCCCTGGGGCACTGGTCAAGCCTGGGGGTGAACCTTGGCAGGTTCCAGGTCTCACCTTCTGAGCGTCGGGAAATAAGGTGCCCTCAGAGCTAAACTAGGAAAATCTCCACCTGGAGAGTGAGACCAGGAGTGTGCGATGTTCCGGAGTGCGTTTGGCTCATTCCACAACGTGCTCCCCCAGCTTATGCCCTAACGCACGGGCTCAGTCAGCGGAGCCCCAACCCGCACAGGCCCAGGGGCCAGGCCCTGACCACAGGGACCAGCAGAGCCTTCCACACCCACCCTTGTCCTCTGCCAGAACTTCAGGCCAGGACACGGGGCGTGGAAGGCCACTCGGAGAGCACCTTGGGGCCACACGCTCCCTGTCCCAGAACTGCACAAGCACCCAGAGGATAGCCCTGCCCCCAGGGCTTCAGGCAGGGCAGCTGGAGCTACTAGCTCCTGCCTTCTGCCTGAGGAGACACTAGTGCCAACAGGCTTGGGCGGGTCATTTCCTCTTCTGTGCCCCCTAGCCCCAGGCTCCCAGCAGCTACTCTGCAGAGCAGGATTCCTGAAAAGGATTCTTGCCAGGAGCGGGGAAGAGGCTGCACACAGGAAATGCTTATGGCCATTCACCTCAAACCTTCTTCACAGCCCAGGTCACAAAAGGCATCCCAAGAGGCAGATGCTACAGTGCAGACGGGGCCAGCGAGACCACCCCACATCCTCAGAGGGGGAGAGAGAAGGCCAAGGGTCCATGCTCTGAGATGGGTCTGGAGGCCAGATCACAGACCTGTGTTTGCTCTCGCCCTGATTACAAGAGAGTCCCTGGTTGGGGTCTCCAGATTGGACTGGGGGTCCAGGGTAGTGAGCAGGTCTGCAACGACACCCCCAAGCCTTGAAGCACAGCCCAGCGGGGCAGAGCCTTTCCCTCACACCAGCCCCCGCACAGGGCTCCCCCACTGCAGATGGGGCATTTGCCACAATCCCCATGTTATAGACAAGAAACCGAGGTCCCAGAGGGAGGGTAAGGGATCTGTTAGAGCCCCAGTGGGTAAGGGCAGAGCCTTGATTCACTGGGCCCCTCCTGGGCACAGCAAGCAGCCCCCTCCTCACCTGGCAGCCAGGCACCCCAACCTGGAGGCTGAAGCCAAACCCAACAGAGGGCCAGTGCCAGGGGCTCCCAGAGAAGGGGCACCTGACATGAGGACAGGCAGGGCACAGGGGCCAGAAGGGACCTGGAGCTGTCTACACTCACAGCTTACACACTTGATTTTAGCAAGCAAACTCCCGTTTCTAAAGAAACCATGAATATCTCAATCCCCCAAAACAGATGGCAGTGGGGTTGCCAAGGCTGAAGTTAGGGGGTGGGAGCCCAGTGAGCATATCCTCCCTCGAATGCACCCAGACACCGTGAGCAGCAGTCTGAAGAGCTCAAGCCTCCTGCTGTCCAAGGTCAGGAGGCCAAGGCTGTGCTTGTGGGCTGCAGGCCTCCCTCCCCTGCCCTTGCTGGAGTGGCGGTCAGCGAAGCAGATCAGCTCTGCCAGAGCCCGACAGCAGCAAAGCTTCCCTCCATCCCTCGCCCGCCCCAGTTCACACAGGTCCCTTGCCCACCCTGCCCACGCGGGTAGAGGCAGAGGTCCAAGCTGCCTCTGGCAGGTGGATGGAGGCAGCAGCTCCGGGCTGGGTCAGAAGAGAGGGCAGAAGGGGAGCAGTGGCTGGGACCCAGGCCCACAGTCTCTGGTAACCCCTGGTGGAGTCCGTGTGCTGCTGGGCAGGCCACCCTGGCATCACAGCCAGCTCACCAGCCAGCCTGGCCAGCTTGCCGAGAGTCCCTAGGGACAGCAAAAGGGCCCAGGTTAGAGCCTGCCCTTGGCTGTGCCCTTGGCTCCCAAATGACCTCTGGACGCTCTGCAAAACAAAACCTACTCTGAAACAACACCCAGACACAATAAAGCAGCCAAACCAAGCTTTGTGTCAGCCCTCGGGAGAAGAACAAAGTGACCGCGCCACGTGATGTGAAAACTTGGTTTTAGAATGGGACTGTGCTGCAGCCATACACACCCCAACCTGAGGGGGCGGGTTTCGCTGAAGATCTCGTGGGAACTGCCCTCTAATCTGCTTTCTTCCTCAAAATAAGCCCGGGGCAGCAGTCACCGGCCCCCCCAGGGCAGAAGGGCAGGCAGAGCTCGGACTGTCCCAAAGGCATTCTGTTCTTGGAAACAGATGCAGCCACACTGATGTCTGCGGCTGGCTCTTTGCTCCTAAAGTGACCTTTTATCAAGATTAGATCCCAGAGAAACAAAACGCTGTACAAGAAAGTAGTAACCATGAGATGATGCCAGGCTCAGCAACGGCAACATTTAGTTATCAGCTAAGGATTCAGCATGGGGCCAGCTCACCCAAACACAACACCACCCTATGGGGAGCAGGGAGCTAAATCCTCACCTGCAGTTACAGGAATGAACCCGCACAGGCAGCGTCCGCCAGGTGTTACTTAGGGACAGGGAGGGAGGCCCAGTGAGATCTGGTGAGATCGGGATGGAAAAAGGCAGACTGGGCCAGGCTGTTTTTTGTTCTAAGTCTTCCAGTTCCTTTTGCACAGATTCCTCTGATAAGATACACATCCTTGAATAATTGCGTTCCCTCAATGTCGTGGAGAGACCCAGAGCTGGCTGGAAGGAAGCTGCAGGTGCCTATCTTCCCCACCCCCTTTTTACAGAAGGAGGAACAGGCCCCAGGAAGGTGCTTGGGTCAAGTCACAGAGCTGGTCAATGCCAGCCCAACCAGGACCTGGGGTTTGGAGAGCCAGGCCGCCCTCACCCCGTGAGGTTGGTTGGTTTTCACACATTCCAGCAAATGCACACTTCAGCATCTGGGAGGGAGGGCGCTTCTGGGCTCCCCTTCTCCTGCTTGCTGTCAGCCCAACACTGACCCAGAAAAGCACATGGCAGGGCACACGTGGAGCCTGCCTGTTTCCCAGGCCTGGTCCCGATAAGGTCAGCCTTTTTTGTAAGGCAGTGGGGTGCCCCCGAAGGCAGGCAGAGTACCCACTACCTGGAGTAGGCTCACAGGAGCGGTGCTGGCCTGGGGAGCAGTACATGGACTGTTTTTCAGAATGTCCAAACAGAAAATGTTCCAGTTCTGCCCAGAGTGCCAGCTCCTCCCCCTCATCCAATGACAACTGTTTCCACATCAGTCCCAACCAAAAAACATCGGTTCTCACGTCTACAAGTTGGACAGTGCACACACAAGAGAAGCCAGAGCTGCCGGGGGCTCGGGAAGGCATGTCCAGGAGGTGCTCCCCACTCCGTGAGAGGCACCAGAGCCTGGTCGGCCAGGGGGACCCCCCAGCTCAGACAGGCTCTGCCCCCACCTGGCCTACTTGCCCACACTTGCAGCACCCTCACCTGGGCCAGGAGGGACCTCCCATCTCCAGACCTTCCCCCAGCATCCAAAACCACTGTCTGTCACCCTGGATGCCCCTGGCCCTTCATCCATCCCAGCAGAGGCCCTCTTTCTTTGTTTAGTCTGTGCAGGTGGAGGGGAGGGAGACAGGGACATGTCACCCACAGGACCTCTGCACACCTACCTACATGCAGGCCACTCAACCTTCCCAAACCCTCAATGCTGCTGCCTCCATCTGCAGACAAACAAGTTGAGGTGGAGACCTCTGTGTAAGTGGGATTCTGGGCTCCAGCGGCCTCACCAAGGAGGTGATTCTGGGCTCCAGAGGTCTCTCTAGTGGGCACAGTGGGTTCAGCCCTCCCTGGACGTGTCAGTCCTCCAGATCCCAGGCCTCTCCCAGAGTCTGCTCTCATGGGATCATACTTGTCCAAGTTCACCCTCCATTCCCACCAGCCTTGTCGCCCAGTCTGACCCCAGCCCACCAGGCCATGCTCCGAGGAGCTATGCTGCCCAGCAACAAGCAGCAAGCTCTCTCTCTCTCGCCATGGATGTGCGGAAGGGCATGGTGGCTGCCACTACAGGCCAGGCCCAGCAGGCTCTATTGAATTTGAAGGAGGTCCCCTCTGCAGGCTGGCATTCAGACAGCAGCTGGTTTCTTCTGCCTTCCTGGGCTTGTGTCCTGGGAAAAGCCATTTTCCTCCCTCTCCCGCTGCTTCTGGTGGGGGAGAGAAGTGTGTGTCTGTGCTTTCTGAATTACTTTCTGAATTCTCTAGAAGGAAACAGACCAGGCTTGCTGCACAGCCTGAGGGTGCTGGCTCAGACCCTTCTCAGTCCCCACATGCTTTCTGGTCTCCTCAAGGCCCCTCCTCCCTCCTCCTGAGGGTTACAGGGGTGGCGTCCCCCTGAGGCTGAGCTCCACAGGTGCCACCCTGGCTATCCCAGGCCAGAGACACTGCAAGACCAGCAGTCAGGACAGGACCAGTCCACCAGAAGGGGAGCTGCAGGAAGGATGGACCCCAGGCCAAGAACCCACCCAGCTCTGCCAGACCTAGGCTGTAGGACCCTGGGCAGGTGACCACTACCTGGGGACTGTCCTGGACTAGGCTGGTGAGAACAGGACTTTGCCAAAGAAAAATCCCAAAGCCCCCTGACAACACACCTCTCCCCCCCCCCTTTCCGGTCCTAGGCCAAAACAAAAGGAGACAGGGAGGGGCGGGGGAGGTTGGAGGAGCTGTCCCGGGGTAAGAATCGCCCCCACACAGGGTCCCGGAAGCAGGCAGGCTGGAGGAAGAGGAGAGGGGGTAGGGGAAGAGAGGGGAGGGGTGTAGCGCATCCGAGCCGGCCCTGGAGGTGGCTGGGGGAAGCACGGGGTCCCCATCGCTTCAGAACCAGGAAGACCCAACGGGCCCTCGGGGACCTGCCCAGGGCTATCTCGGAGACCTGCGCCCAGCGTGGCCTCCGGGAAACGTGGCTCCTGACACAAGTCACCAAGGAAGGGGCGCGAGGAGAGCCAGTCCCACGCCCACCGTCCGCGCCGTGTCCCTGGGCCACCGCCAGGCCGGCGCAGACACACTCCCCGGGCCGGGCGCGCGAGGGCGGGGCGCGCGAGGCCGTGGCACGCCGCACGTAGGCAGGCGACCCGGGAGCGTCGGGGCGGAGTCTGGGCGCGGGGACCCGGAGGCTCAGGGCCGGAGCAGGAGAACGGGCTGACTCCGCGTCCCCAGGTCCCAGGGCGAGGGGTGGCGGGCGCACCCAGAGGGGCGCGGGGACAGGCAGACTCCCCCTCTCCCCGGATCCGCCCAGACACAGGCCCCCGCCCCCGCCCACCTTGCGCGTCGCCACCGCTGGTGAGCACGCCGATGGCCTTGCCGGCCCCCGACATCCGCAGCTTCTCTAGGTCCACGGTGGCCATGGCGGCGGCCGAGACCCAGGGCCCGCGCTCGCTCTCCCGCCGCCACTGTGCCTTTTCCCCTTAAGTTTCCAAACCTGTTCAATTAACAAACGCGCCACGTTTATTGAGGGTCCATTTCATGATGGCCAGGCGCTGTTAAAGAAAACCTGCAGCAAAACCTTCCAAGTAGTTTCAGGGGACTTGGCCTGTCATAGCGGGGCCTCAGCGAAGACCACCGGCGCAGGCGTGGCTGCGCACACGCAGTCCTCTGCCAAACGCTGATGCCCTGGTTCATTTGTAATTATGCACCTGCTCTATTTTAATTTTGTGTCTCAAGAAGTTTGTTGTTGCCGGAGGCCCCTCCCTCCCCTCATGGCTGGCGGACCACGCTGGCAGGTGCAGTTGCAGAATGGAATGCCAAGGAAGACGGACAGGAGTGCATTTGTTTCCACCTGACTTCACTGCTTTCTCAGACCCTTGGAAAACTTTTGCCCACCAAAAGTGGGGGCAGGGAGCTTGTGATCGGGAGAGTGGCCTCTACCTTGGATGGGCGACAGGAGTGCATTTGTTTCCACCTGACTTCAGTGCTTTCTCAGACCCTTGGAAAACTTCTGCCCACCAAAAGTGGGGGCAGGGAGCTTGTGATCGGGAGAGTGGCCTCTACCTTGGATGGGCAGTGGGTGGGGCGGGAGTGGAGGTCCAGCCTCAGGGGCAGGACAGACAGGGCCCTGCCCTGGGGGAGCCTGGAAGGTGGAGGGAGAGGCGGCCACCAGCCAAATCTGGGGCTCTGAGGAAAGGTGCCGCCTGCAGGAGCCCCTGATCCGGGTGGCCATTGGACAGGCCCAGACACCCACTAGGAGTTTTGGATGGGGTGGGGAAGCCACCCCAGTGATGATTACAGAGACGTGTTTACTTTATGGAAACTCAGCAAGCCCATCACCTATAATTCGTGTATTTTTCTCCGCATATGCTGTATCCTAATAAGAACATTTACACAAAAAGAGTCTACTGTGTGAAATATTCAGAGTGGAGTAGGATTGGTGAGGAGAGGGACGTGGGTCCAGGAAATGGTGGCTGTGAATACAGACTACTCTGTTTAATTGTGAAATGATAGAAAACACACCAAAAAATGTGTACTTGCAGAAGAACACGTTAAAAAGCATTGACAAGACATCTGTTGTTTCCCTCAGAGGTGATCTCTGTGCTGACATTTTTAGTCATTATTGCTTTTCTTATAGTTTTATCATGAGTGTACATATGTGTGTGCCTGCATGTATTCTTAAAAATGTATAGTTTAGCTACAATGAGATATCCCCTCTAATCCATTAGGAAGGCTAATATAAAAAACAAAATAACCCAGAAAACCACATGTGTTGGCGAGGATGTGGAAGAACTGGAGGCCTTGTGCACTGTTAGTGGAAATGTAGAACGGCGCAGCCACTGTGGAAAATTGTGTGCAGGTTCCTCCAAAAATTGAAGACAGAATTACCATGTGGTCCAGCAATTCTACTCTGGGTATATACCCAAAGAATTGAGTGCGAGGACTAACACAGGTATCTGCACACCCATGTTCACAGCGGCACTATTCACAATAGCCAAAAGGAGGAAGCCACCCACATGTCCATCAACGGATGTGTGGATAAAGAAAATGTGGTCTGTACACACAATGAACTACTATTCAGCCTTAAAAAGGAAGGAATTCTGACACATGCTCCACATGGATGAACCTTGAAGACATTATAAGTGAAGTAAGTTAAACACAAAAGGACAAATACCATCTGACTCCACTCACACAAGGTCCCTAGCATGGTCAAGTCCATAGAGACAGACAGTGGAAGGGCAGGTGCCAGGGGCCGGGGAGGGGATGGGGAGTGAGTGTTTAACGGGACAGAGCTTCAGTTTGGGAAGGTGAGAAAGTTCTGGAGGTGGACGGTGATGATGGTCACACGACAGTGTGAATGTGCTTAATGCCACTGAACTGTGCATTTCAAAATGGTTAAGGTGATACATTTTATGTTATGTGTACTTTACCACAATTTTTTTTTTAAAAAGTGACCAAACAGAAAAAAGTTTAGTTGTTCTGGTGTTTCTTTGTGGGTCATGGAGCCTAACACAATAGCATGTATTATCTACAGTTTCTGAGGGCCAGGATTTGGAGTAGTTCTAGCTCAGGGTTTCTGTTATGGACTAAATGTGTGTGTTCCCCCAAAACGTATCTGCTGAAGCCCTAACCCCCATGTGACTGTATTTGGAGACAGGGCCTCTAAGGAAGTAATTAGAGTTAAATGAGGTCTCAAATGTGGGGCCCTGGTCTGACAGGATTAGTATCCTTATAAGAAAAGACACCAAAGAGCGACCTCTCTCTCTCTGCTCTCCCTCCCTCCCCAGGTGAGTTCACTGAGGAAAGCCCAGGCAAGGACACAGCAGGGTGTGTCATCTTCAAGCCAGGAAGAGGGCCCTCACCAGAAACCAACCCTGCTGGCACCCTGGCCTTGGACTGCCAGCCTCCAGAACTATGAGAAGTAAATTTCTGTTGCTGAAGCCGCCCAATCTGTGATATTTTGTTACCGCCCAATCTGTGATATTTTGTTACAGTAGCCCACGCTGACTGTGTGGTCTCTCATGAGGCTGCAGTCAGGATATGGCCAGGCTGCATCATCTGAAGGCTCAACTGGGGCTGAAGCATCCACTTCCAAGATGGTGTCCTCAGCAGGCTCTTGGTGGAGGCCTCAGTTCCTCACCATGTGGCCTCTCCACAGAGATCCTTGCATGTCCTCACCATGTGGCAGCTGGCTGCCCCCAGAGCAAGCAATCCAAGGTGACAGCCACAGTGCTTTTTGTCATCTGACCTCAAAGGTCATGTATGGTCACTTCCAGCACATTGTAGTCATCTGTGCAGGACAGTTCTCCAGGTGGCCTTGTATCAACTCAGTTTCTTCTCCGCCCACACACCCTTTTTCTTGCATGTAGCTCTCAGAATGACTACAATGTGCTAGGAATGCAATATCCTGAGATAGGGAAGGACTGCCTGGAATAGCCAGGGCCTTGTTCCTGTCCTTCCCAGGGAATGTAACATCCCAAGTCAGGGAGGAACTGCCCGGGACAGTCCAGGCTTTGTTCCTCCCTCCCTGGAAGCAGGATGATTTTCAAAGCTTTGCCCAGTGAGTCATGTTGCACCTGAGATAAATAACTGGGGTAGGTGCCTTTTGGGGTCCCTCGGCTGCGGAGAAACATGGGGCACGGCAGTCAAGACCATCCGCCCCAGGCAGTTTTCTCAAGCCTTGGGAAAGGGGCTCACAATGGAGCTGAGACCTCTCTGTCCCTTGCTGCCTATCTGTAAGTAATCATTTCATATACCGTGTTGCATGTGTGTTCTGTCTTATTGGCTCAGGCTATTAGCAGAACTGTAGCCCAGGATGCAGCGTGCAGAAGTGTTTGGACTCTTTTATTCCTGGTGGTTGGCACAGTGATGACCTCTGCCATCCTCCGTACAGTGGGAGTCTTCCCTTGGGACTGGTAAACCTGTTCTGCAATTAGCAGCAAATTATGGAGTTCAGCACACCCTCAAAGGGAGAGGAACAAATCTCTACCTCTTAAAGAGCTGAGTGGCAAAGCATTCGTGGACATGTTCTTAGGCACCAGCAGCCCCTTTTGGGGCAGGTGTGGGCAAGGCCAGCCTGAGTCCTGGGAAACATGCCATACCATGGGCAGGCCTGGACATCAGCAGGCATATGGCCAGGGCACATTGTTCTGTAGTTCCTGCTTCAAAGCACACCAGGGACCACTTCCAGCTCTCAGCAGAAGGTCAAAGCCACCTTTGGGTCAACAAGCACGTCCTCACTGCAGGTCAGGACAGGAGCAGTATAGGAACTTCATCAGTTAACGGCTATGCCAACTCAGGTACAGACAGATGTGGGCCACTCGCTGGGCCTGCTGGGTCAGGTTAGGAAGATGGAACAACAGTAGGGCGTCTTAAGGAAGATGGCCTCAAGCTGCCCGTGACTGTAGGCACACTTGTCCGCATGGGTGTGGCCATGCACCAGCACAGCTGTCATCCCAGGAGTTCAGTCACCATCCATTTCCTTGATGGATCTCATGGTCACCAGCTCCAAATCTTCCTTCCTCTTTTCTTCCTCATCTGCTCAGGACATGGGGAGATGGGGCTCATGGGAGTGCATTTTCTTGGGGCCTTGCATTACTCTGCCCTGAATTTTGATAGAAACTTTGGCTGTACATAGACTTTAAAGTTAGAATCATCTGCTTACAGCATCTCAAAGCTTTATTCCATCGTTCCCTTGCTTCCAGGACTGCACCGAGGAGTCAAAGTCATTCTGAATCCTCATCTTTGCACATGACCTGGTATTTTCTCTCCAGAAGCTTGTAGCATGGTCTTTTCCCAGCTGTTGTGAAAGTCCACATGAAGCACCTCGTTTGGGAGGGTCTGCTTCCCACTGCTGCACTGGGCACATGGGGGTCCTTCCAGTACAGCAGTTGTTTCCTGGGGGCAAGTCCTTAAGATCTTCCGTTGACAATATATTCCTTCCCAAGCTTCCCCTTTACCCTTCTGGGAACTCCTGGTATTTACACTCTGGACTTCCTGGGCTGAAACTCTACACTTCTGACCTATTTCTGTTTTCTAACTCATTTTTGCTGTACTTTCAGAGGGATTTTTTTTAACTTTGCGTTCCCACCTTGTGGAAAAGTATTCACTTCTGCTGCCATGGTTTTGGTTCCCAAGAGCTTTACTGCCATTCTCCTCTGAATGTCCCTTTTGATAGTGTCCTGCTTCCTGGCTTCATGAATACGGGCTCTGTCTCTCAAAGGATAGTGCCAGTTTTATTTGATTTTTTGTGATCTTTCCTTGCTTTTGAGTTTTTTTCATCCACGCTGCTGTATTTCTTTGTGTCTGTCTTGGTCTATGCCATGTTAGACACTCCTTTTATGCCTGAGAGTCCTCAGATCATGATTAGGAGGCAGACCCTCTGAATGTCACAGGTGACTATGAGCCTTATTGTAGAATAAGCTTGCTGGGACATTTGTTGGGACCTCCCCCACCAGGACTGTTGTCC